AGTTGCAGGTTGTCCCTGTGGCACAGAGGCAAACTATTTGCAGAACTGCCTGTATATACACTGATTTCTGCTTACCCCTCCATATGTGACAACATGTGCTTACTCCTGACTCCTTTTCTGAAGCACTCCTTTTTTGATGGCTGTTCTCTGAAATAGATATCCCCCCCCAATACACAAGCCCAAACTCTGCTCACCTTTTAACATCTGACTCCCCCCCCAGGCATTTGGAGGCAGCCCTTTATTTGCTTTTATTATGACTGGTTCTCATTCTATAGTCTGTATTTCATGTTCATATTTGTGCATTGTGTATGTTCTCACATTACATGTTTTTTTTTCAAGTTGCTCTGTTGTTGTTATTGTTGTTGTATGCCACCCAGAATACCACTATTTGAGTTGGGTGGCCTTATAAAACCAGTAAATAAATCTAACGGGGTTCAAGAGGCATGCCCTGAGATTCCCTGAGATTCAAATGGGCCCCGCCCAGTTGGTATTATAAAAAGTTTTTAAAACGTGATTATTTCCTATGTCCAGGTCATTAAGTGAGACTAGTTAGAAAAAGATTGTATATCTTCTGAGGACTACATTATTGTTGTGATAATTATAATTAACTGTTAAAATGTGGTTGTTATGGTTTTGTTATTTTATTGTTAGGAGACCCAGTTTGGAATAGTGGTTAAGGCAAGAAACTGGGATACCATGACTTTCAGGCATGCTTTGGGCCTGAATCCAGTTGGGTGACCTTGAGCCAATCACTTTCTCTCAGCCCTAGGATGGAGGCAAGGGCAAACCACTTCCAAAATCTTGCCAAGAAAAATGCAAGGACTTATCTAGGCAATCGCCAGGAGCCAGTATTGACTCAAAGGTATTCCCCCCCCCACCCTCTCCCCCACACACCCTGTTAAAAAATATTGTTAGCCAGAATCATGGAAGCTAGATAGACAGCCATATAAATTATTTAAATAATTAAATAAACATTTTAAAAACATTTTAAAAGTTTTAAAAAGTAATCTTTTCAAAAGTAAAACATATTACACAAACAAATTACACATACAGGTGTGCCAATTTCAAGATCAGCAATTCTGTAACACTAGAGTACAGTAGAGATGGAACTATTACAAGCACAGCAGCTTACCAAACAATAGAATTAAATTTGACAATTCCACATAACTCTGATTATATTTGATCCAAAAGAACTTCCAATGAAACGAATCACAAAGGAGCAATCAGCTTGAGACAAACTGGCCAAGAATGTTAGAAAGAAGACATTGCATCATTTGTAGCTTATGATGGCATACAGAGTGCCCTAGCGTTGTTTTTTTCTGCTGGGGCCCATAACACTGTCTTCATCATATGCCTAACCCATGACTGAAATAAGATTAATATATCCTTAACTGTACATTGATGAGAGATTTTCATCCTTGTTCCAACACTATCCATAGTAATCTCAAGGTCTATTGATGGCTGGGGAATTCTGTGAATTGAAGTCCACAAATCTTAAAGTTGTCAAGTTGGGCGATACCTCTGGTCTATACTGTAATATCTATTAGAGGTTGTCCCCCGTTACCTTATAGTAAGATACATAATTCATAATTGTGGTTTTGGGGAGGCTACAGTGGTACTTTTTTCAGATATCCTAACAACATTGCACCACATACCAATAAAAAGCTGCATGGATTTTTGCAGGTTGCCTTAACAGAAAGTCAAAGGAGAGAATGGAGTGCAACTTCTAGTTCTGAAGATTCTAATTACAAAATCCCAAAATGGAACCAGCATTTTTCTGGCTAACCCAACAGTATGTAGTCAATATTCATATCACACAAAATAATTTCTCTTGGCTCAACATCTCTGTGATAACAGAAGCCTGATAACTTTAAATGTTTGCCCTGAGCTGTTCTGACTATACCTCAGAAAGATTATAAGCACTCCATAAATACCCTAGATTAATACTGATCCCAACAGCAAATCCACTTACAGAGACTTTAAGAATACGGTGGTTCTCAAAGCTGTAACTTACTGCTTTCTTCCAAGAAAGAACTGCTTTCTTGAAAAATCAGAAGAAACAAATTAATGAAAACATGACAAATAATACATATTGTGTCTGGTATTGGTAAGGATACAAATTGGAAAAGGTACATTGATAAGAAAAGGTCTAAAATATGACAGTAGGCACATCTATATAATTCATTCTCTGGCTTTATACACAAAACAAACATACATAGAATTAAGGTTTTTAAAATCAAACTTCTAATTGTGAAAGGAGGACCTCTCCTTCCTAAAAGCAGCATACATTACTCTAAACTACTTATAGATTAAAGGAATTGTTTCCCACTCTTCTTACAGGTTCAACCATTTATTGCATCACTTTATATATAATGGTTTGTTATTAAACAGGTTTTAGCCTTGGTATGATTTAAATCAACTAGCATGTTGATTTCTAGCATGTAAAAAAAATTAATGTCTTACTAAAATGAACAGTGTAGCCAACAACAAGGAGAAAAATCACAAGAGGCCAACAATACAATGTTTGGTGGACAAGAAACGAACAAACATATACCTCACTTATACATATCTTTATACTGGACAGGTAACAAACATTTAAGCCCACTTCTTGGGACTTCACACTGAGTAACTAGTAGTACATTAACAAGTACAGGAATATAGTTCCTACTTCAATATAACATATCTTTCCTAGATGGAAATCATCCCTGCATATAAGCAGTTGATTATATTTTTCCAAGTTCATACTTTGTAAATATTATCTCTATGCATTTGCAATTGCAAAACTCTGCAATACAGATGCAAATGCTGCATACAGACAGCAACTCAGATTTTTTAAAATAAAAACCCACATGCAGCAGAAATATAGTAAAGTTTCTAATGTTGGTCAAGAGTTATGATCAGCATTTACATTGTAAGACAATACTGATATCTGAATACATTTTAATACATCTGTATTAGGTGTACAATCTGAACAAAAAGTTTTTTAAATGATGCAGACTAGCATTCATCATTTTAAGAGTCATTCCCCCTTTCCTATGGAAGGGAATGCCTGTTTTAATCCATTGTAAAAACTTCAGTTTAACTGCTAACTAATAGACATCTATCAATGAACACTTTTTGAACAATTTACTTAAATCCATTAGCTAAACAGTCCCCAAAGAGAAATATTGTTTTTGTTAACTATATCACAACAATTAATTATAAAGTTTAAGAAGACATACTGCTCATCTCAAAAAACTTTTACATTGATGGAGGATAGGGAAACAGACAGACATAACAACGGTAACAAAATCCAAGGAACAAAGTACCTGAACATTTTGTGCCATGAATTAGTAAATAGGTTTTCCGTATCTACTTAAAGACATGTGCTAGTTTCAATTTCAATCGTTTGTAAAAGAATCAAAGACGTTGTTCTGCTTTTGAAATAGCCTTACGGTAAGCAGTAATATAGCTAAACGCCTTTCCATCTGCAGCAAGCATTGCATTATGGAAGCTTAAAGCCATCTGGAAATAGACCCAAGGATTGAGAGCAAACTGGTTCCTGATGATCAACAAGTTTAGATGTGAAGGAGTCACAGTTCAGAAGGGCTGGGCCACCTGTCAATGTTTACTGACTCCCATTCGTTAGGAACTAACTCCACCTCCAAAGTCTCCAAACGCCACTCACCACACTGCCTTGCACTAGAAGACCAAGTCTTTCTCCAGGGCTAGCAGGCACAAAACAGCATCATCCTTCACACCCTTTCCCCAACGTCTCTTCTTGAAGCCTTCTCGGTCCCTTAAGCAGTAGCACAGTTCTGTCCACAGGCAACCTGCGGGGCTCAAAACCCTCTCCCAGAAATAAGCTCTTTCTTTGGAATGGGGGGGGGGGAAGAAATTAGGAATACATTTCCTCGAAGGAGACAACTTCGTTTGCCAGCCAGCCGAGGGAGGTTGCCACATAACATCTCAGCTCTCTCTCTCTTTTTTAAATTCGCCTTTGCACACTTGGCCCACAAGAGAAGATGCGAACTAGGAAGAGCATCAATCAAAGAAAGAAACCAGCGGGGAATGGAGAGGATGGAGGAAAAAACTCATCTTTGTCTGAGATCATCCATAACCTCATAACTACCCAGCAAAGATCCCTCCCCCAAGGGCAGGGAAAGCGTCGGCCACCAGCCTCGTGGCTAATGCTTCGTGGTCACCTGGACTGCTTTAAAGCGTTACGTGTGCCCCCCTCCGCACGTCGATTAAGACGCTCCCCGTCCCCCGTTTCCTTACTTTTCATGCTGGGCGATTTCTTGCCCCTTCCCCGGCGGTGCGGATAGGGCACCCGGCTGCAGAAGCAGCAGCCTGCAAGTGGCCAGGTGCCGCCGGTGCTCCTCCTGGAGCCGGGCGTTCTCGTGGCACAGCTTGGCCACTTGCTGCTCGAGCTCGTCTATCCGGAGCTTTTGCTTCTCCAGCAGCTCCTGCTGCGTCTCGATGATCTTGTTGAGTTCCTTGAGATACTCCGCTGCCTTGCTCGGGTTCTCCGCCGGCGCCTCCATGGCCCGGGCCAGCCCTGCTAGCCGCCACGCACCTCAGCGGACGAAGGCAGTCTGGCCACAGTTCGGGGGAACTCAGCTCGACCGCGGCTGCTTTCGAAAGTCGGTGACCCCAACGCCGGTCCGGCTGCTTCCCCTCCCCACGCTGCCTCCCCAATTGGAAGTCTGGTTCTCGGCTAGGGAGAGCCAACCGAGCTATTCCTACCCCGGGCCGCCATTGCCCACTGGCTCTCTTGACTGCTTTTGACCGGGCGGGCGTGTGGTTCCTTCACCGAGGCGTCCCGCGACTCTGGCGCGCAGGTTTCTTTTCCGCCAGCCTTTCTCTTCAACGAGCCCAGGGAAAAGTCTCCCCGGCTAGCTTCGCAACCGGTTCCCTCACCTCAACCGCCTCTCGCGTTGACTCCTCCCGCTTCCTTTCTTGTTTCTTTCCCCCCCCCCTTGTGCTCACGCAGGCGCTTTGCCCCCCCCCCCCGCGGCTTCTGTTACTGATCTTGTAAAACCACAACAGTCCCTGGGTTCCGCATGTCGACAACGCGCAAGGACCCGCGCAGAGTTTGCAAAGTGTCCGCTCCGTACCCGGGCTCGGGGGAGGGAGGCGAGAAGAGTTGGTGCTGAGCAGCTGCGTAGTTGATAGTTTAAGCCGCTGTGGTTTGTTGCTGTTTCCGCGGCGTCCTCTTGGCCGCTGCTAGCCGGTCGGTCAGGCAAGCCATAGCATTTCGGTCCCCGGTCTCCCACACGCCATAAATCCCAGCCCCACCGGGAAGCAGAGGCGGAGGAACATAGGCGGGTGACGGCAGGCTGCAGGACCGCTGCGAAGGCGGGAGGCCGGCCAGGGAGTGACCAGCACGTGGAAGCAAGCGAGCGGCCCCCCGTACCTCAGCGCGGCTTCCCTTTTGGGAGGGAACCGACGCGGAGCACCGCTAAACACCGTTGCCGGCATTGAAGATGAGAATCTCGGCTGCTGAAAAGGACGCCGCCTTCCTCCTCTTTTTTTTTTTTTTTTCTCCCACCCAGTTGCAAAGAAGGAATAGCGAGGGACGGTCGAGAGCCGGGACGCTCCGAGAGATGAGGAGACGGTAAGATGGCCCGCGGGGCGAAGAACGAAGTCCTTGCGGCTCTCTTTTTAAAAAGGTGGGTTGCGCCTCCTTTGGCTTGCAGCCTCCAACCGCCTGCCCCGTCACAAATCCGTCCAGCGGCAGGAATTTAGACCCTCAGTTGCCTTCTCCATATCGGCGGCGTTTGTGGCAACCTCGCAGAGCACCTCCCTTTTAGTTCTCTGAAACGCTTAAAACGCCCCCCCCCCACACACACATACAACGTTTAATTTGCTCCAGGATTTCATAAGAGAATATTGCATTTCTAGGGAAAGAGGATGGAGGAGCTCGAAGACAGAAAGTAGAGCCCGGCTGGAACTGCCCCAACCTCTCTCAGCTTCTCCTCCCCCCTCCTTGGGGAAAAGAGGGCAGACGAGGCTGTTCCGAAGAGCGAGGGGCAGGAGTCCGCTCCTGCCAAGAGCCGGAGCTGTTTGCAAACATCGCCAGCCGGGCGCTCCAAGCGGCAGCTTTCTAGCCATATGCCAGCGGTCACACTTCCTCCTCCAGCTGGCGACTGCGAGCGCCGAAGAGGCTGCCTGCCTCTTCTCGGGCACCAGAAGAGCGAGCGGCGTCCTCCCTCCAGGGGGCCTCCGCGCGAGTGGGGGCGTGGAGCCTATTGGAAGTGATCCGCGGCGCCTGACCAAAGCTGATGGAAAGAAGGCGCCCAGAGAAATAAGGAAACCTGTAAGTTGGGGAAATGGTGGGCGGGAAGGGAAATGGGATTTGCCTTTTTTCTCGGAACTCTTCCCAATCGCGTTTCTCCATTTTCCTTACCTCTGTATATTCTAAAATGCGTCTGGATACTCAAAATACTGCAGTAGCGTTTGCTGCTTCACTAGTTACACTGGCCCCCGGTTTCCAAAGTCAAATCTAGGCTGAGGTTTTTCCTAATACTTGATCTAGAAGGCAGCTTGAGCGGAAGAAGGTTATTCAGAAAAGGAAAAAAAAAAAAACTTGAGGCTTTTGAATAAAGGAGTTCACAAGAGTTAAAGGTTTTCCTCTTCCTCTTTCTGCAGCCTCCAAGGTAAACTCGTAGTAGAGCTGCTCTGAAACAAATGGGCTGCAAAAATGCATTCAGTGTATCTGTGGTTAATGACTCTTCAAATTAGCTTTCCTAGGCCAAGAAAACTGCAGGACTTGTTGGAGAATCGGACAGCGATTGAACAGAGGGAAAAAAATACTAATAGGCCAGAAAGGTATATCATCATCATCATCATTTAAAATGTACTGTAAACAAAATTTACAGAACTTGATCGTCTAATTTTAACATTGTTGTAATTATTGTTTTCAAAAAGCAGGAATAAATCTTAGAAGTTTAAACAAGTGAATCTTACTAAAAACAAATATTATTGAGATCTTGACAGAGCTATGTATCCAGCTTAACAGCTAAACAAATAGGTCTAAAATATTAAAATGATTAACAGCTAAACAAATAGGTCTAAAATATTAAAATGATTAACAGCTAAACAAATAGGTCTAAAATATTAAAATGATTAACAGCTAAACAAATAGGTCTAAAATATTAAAATGATTCCAATATTAAAATGAACCCAAGAGTATTTTATTCTTCATCAGACTACATGAAAACGGGAGGGGGAAATAGAGAAGGAATATCTACAGTAGCAAATATTAAAACTGTCCTATCTGCATTTATTTATACTCTTAAGAATGGAATATGGGAAACTTTATAGATAGAATCTCTCGTCTTCCAGTTGCACATAGGACTTTGAAATGCAAACAGTGATAAATGACCCATGCTAGTCAAAGTACCTAATTTAAATGTTTACCTTCTCCCACATTTCTATTTTAAGGCTATGAATGAATACAGACACAGTGGATACAATATTGTTCAGCTTTCCTCAACTATCTGCTTCCTTTACTGTCCAGCCTGATTAGGAGTTCTAGAGAACACTGTAAAGATTATTTCAAGATATTTTCTTTTCCTTAATATAGATTTCCTTACTTACTATATTTGTATATGGGTGGCTACTTTGTGTAGCTCAGGTGTGCCATGCAGATTTGGCCAATTTCATATTTCTGCCCAAAGACCCTTTTTGTCCTTGAAATCCATAACAAACCAACATACATGCTGCCTGTTGCATGTATCCCTTAAAAAAGTAATTATACAGGAGATATATGCTTCTTTCTTAATTAAATCAGCTTCAGAAGAAATCCAGAAGATATTCTCACTTTATTGGATTCTTAGTAAGAAATGAGTATCTTATAGGTGATGCATAAATTTTAAATCACTAAAAATATATAGTGATTGAACCAACTTTTAAAAAAAAGCTTTTGCAGGTATTCCTCATTTACCACTGTCTTGTTTATAGATTGTTTGCATTTATGACAGTGATGAATAAGTAACTCACATTTATGAGTTTCACAGGTCTGTAAAGCAAAATAAAGCTAAAGATTATGAGCACAATTGTGGTTTCACTTAGCAGCTGCTTCACTTAATGACCAAATAGGTGGTCCCAACTGTCACTAAATGAGGATTATTTGTATTACCATGCTTCCTCACCCTCTTTTTTACTTCTCTTTCTTTAAATCCAGAGAGGCAGATATGTAGAAATAAATGCAGCTATATGTATTTTCTAATGTGTATTGTGCTTTTATTATTGTATAAACTTTTGGAACTAAAAGTTCCACTCATTCTTATAATCATGTATACCTATCCAAATCAGAGTTGAGTTTTAGAAGAATCAAAGGACCTTTTCTGTCATGCACCTTGTTCTATGATGGCTTTGAAGAAGTAAAGTTTTCATATATATTTTATACTTCCCAACAAGGTTTGATCAGTCTGTCAAAATTTAGCTAGTTACATTTTGGCCTTTTTCTTGCACCACCTGATATTTTTCCAATTGAGTGTCATTGCTTTACCCAGTTCAAATGGAATAATCTGTTTCTTTGATAACTACAGCTCATATCTTCAAAGTCTACATTCTGGTACTTTTTTCAAGACGTATAATTTGAAAGCTTCCTGAGAAACCTTTCTTCTTCCATGTCCTCCTCTAGAAGGATCTCATGTATGCTTATCTTTCATATACATCTGTTTATATAAATATTCTAATACTATAGTATTTCTCTACATCATGGTATTACACCATCATGGGCAGTATCTACTAGTAACAGTCTACTAGCATTAACATACTGATTCATGTTTAATTAATCATGTTATATATCTTAATGGGGGCGCAATGGCTCAGCAGTTAAAGATGCTGAGCTTGTCAGCTGGAAAGCTGACAGTCCAGGTTTGAGACCCAAGCATTGTGCGATGGGTGAGCTCCCGTCTTGTTCAGCCTCCTGCCCACCAGCAGATTGAAAGCATGCACATGCAAGTAGATAAATAGGTATCACTTTGGTGGGAAGGTAACAGCATTCCATGTACCTTGGTGTGTAGTCAGGCTGGCCACCAGACAATGCTGCTCCCCTCAGCTAAGAAATGGAAATGACCACTGCCCCATAGAGTCAGACATGACTGGACAGGGGAAACTTTTACCTTTTTCTTTATATATGTTAAATTCTAACAGAGAGATCTCTAGGAGTTTCCTTTTGTAGATTTTGTAGTGTGATGTTTGATTAATTCTGGTTCATAAATATGTATAGTGTAATTTTACATTAGTGTAATAAAATGATTTGGAGGTCTTTATGCCTGTCTGAAAGATAATTTATAATTCTAGGAAATAGATATTGATGAAACAATATCTTGTTGCAAAACTGTTACTTTTTGGCAAGTCTCCTATGCTTTTTACAACCTTGTAAGAAACTGGTTGCAGATTCAAATACATCATCTCTGTTGTTCAGTATTAAGAAAATTCATTACCCGATACATGTTAAGAGCTTTCTTTTACAACTGCCTCCCTTTTTTTCTTCCTGAAAATATAAATAATTGCATTTATAATTGTGTATACTGCATATGTGCACGCACACACCCATATAATAATATATATTTTATTATCCAAGTGCAGACATTTTCTTTTTGCTACCACAAAACTCCTTTCTTAAAAATTATACTTTCTGCAAAGCAGACGGGGAAAAGATATTTTGAATATTGGCTTGAAGATTGGCTAAGAATGCTCATTACTCTGCTGGATGCCGCTGCACCCTGTCTGAAGTGCTTAGAGAGAGAAATCAAAATTCTTCCCAGGAAGTTTAAATAATCTCACTTTGTTGCATCAGATGAATTAAAAAAGCTTGCCAACCAGGAAGCGGAGAAAGCATATTTATGGCATCAATACCATGTTCAGCTTTTGTACATCCAAAGCCAATTGCTAGTTCTTTTTGAATAAGAGTGACAGTGAACTGACTTTGCCTAGTTGTACCAACATGGAATTTTTAGTTGAAGCTTGCCTTAAAAAAAAAAAAATTAAAATGTTGTATCCGATTACTTTTAGAAAGATACATCTTACTAGACCTTCTGGTTCTCTGAAAATGCAAAGATTAATTCTTGAATAAAATAGTTGCTTACAAATATTCATCATGGTAGTTTCCCTTTATATTATGAGAATAGCGTCAAAGAAAGCATTAAAGATATTCCTGCCTAACAACCCCCCCTCCGCGCTCTCTCACACACAAAGTGAAAATCTGTTGCCCATTGTGTTTATTGTAAGACATGATCTGAGAGAACTAAGAATTCTCCTGCACAACTTTTTGATTCTTTGAAGGAATACTATATACTTTGAAACCATAAATGTTTTCAGCTCGACCACTCCAAACATCCATCTAGCTTGCAATCTCTAAACCCCTCTTAGGTAGAGCAAATCATGAAAGCAACTGAAGGCTAAAAGTATTTTTTATTGAGATTAGTTATACTGTAATAACAGAATCTTGAAAATCTGACTTGTGCTGTTATCTCCTCCATTTTGGTGAATTAGGAAGGTATCTGCCTGACTTGTTTTATGAACATTATCTGGTCATTCTGAACTTTTTTTAAAAAAAATGCTTCATTCCCCCATTCTCCTGGCCTAGGTTTTGCATCTCTCCATCAAGATCATCTTCCTTAATTTCTATGCTATTCTGGATGTTGCTAGACTTTCATAATTAAAGATTGGAAGTTTTTCTCATTATTTGTGAAAACATACACCTTGCCCCCAAACCAAAATGCCACATTTTAATTTTATGGAATATTTTTCTTAACAAGCAGATAGTTTTCATCTGGACATTATCAACAATAATAATGACAACTGCTGATTGACCCCAATCTTTTAGTGATACAGTTGTGCCTTTTGTTTTTGTTTTTCTAAAAAAAACTTCAGGAGAGTGGCTTGTATGATTTAATTGATATTGTGTGAAGAGTTACTTTGAAACCATTATCAACTATTTCCTTAGAATTGATGCCTAATAATTCCATTAGAAAATCTGTAGTTCTAATATGATGGTATGAGGAAAAAGTCATTGCTGCCATATTTTTTTAAATGTCATATTTAATGTTTATCTTCCATGATACAAACAATATGTTTTTTACGGGAAATACAATTTCATCTGCTTGATTATACCAATTGCTCTTTTTTATACTTTTAATATAGTTTAGTATAATAAATTAATTGAAAGTTGTAGAAGATTATCTGTAAACTGTATGGAGAATTGTCAATCCCAAGTTATAGATGGCTGCACTATAGTCTTACAATATATTCAGTGTTACATTTTATTCCATTGGTGCATCAAAGTTCTACTTTGAACGTTCCCAGTGGCAGAAATGAGACAGATTATTTTCTTTCTCAGTTTTTGCTCTTAAAGCTTCCAGCAAGAGTTCCCAGAAGAGTTGAACAGGTTTCAGCAGGGGAATGGAGGGAGAGATGAGGAAAAAATGAACACAAATTGATTGCCAATGAAAATGCTGTTAGGTTAGAAGGTGGATACAATCCATAATGTCATGCTTATTGTTTTATTTTTAGCACTTCTCTAAACTTAGCTTCATACAACACTAGGAGATATGATTTCTTAATATAGCCCAGTATTATGTGAATCCAGGCATTCCAATTTGTAAATCATGGTTTTTAGCTTAGCATAGAATGTGCAATCTGTATCACTCAAGTGGTTATACCTAGTTAAACAAGCAGCAGTCAAGCACAACATACAGCACAGTCTAATATTTGTAATATTTAGTTTAATTTTTTTACAAATATCAATTTATTGCAGAGTTTAAAGAAAAAATAAGTAGAAGGCAGAGTCCATATATCAGTCAATTAAACTGCTCCAAACGAAAGAGCCACTTATTTATTTATTTATTTATGAGACTTATATACCGCTTTAAGTGCAAGCACTCTCTAAGCGGTGTACACCAGTAAGCAATGTATATATATATTTACATTGCCCCCAACGATCTGGGTCCTCATTTTACCTACCCCAGAAGGATGGAAGGCTGAGTCAACCTTGAGCCGGTGAGATTTGAACCGCTGACCTGCTGAACACAGTCAGCTAAAGTGGCCTGCAGTAGTGCACTCTAACTGTTGTGCCACCTCGGCCCAAGAGCTGATGTGGGAAGTACTTTTCCAGAAGAAAATTACAGGTGGACTTCGCTCACTGACAATGAGAACAAGAGAGTAAGAAGATACAGCGTTCGAACTCAAACTGCCCTAGAGCCAAATAAATATGCTGAAAAAAAGACAATGCCAGTTTATTGAATAACAGAGGTGATGCAATTGCTATTTACAGGAGAAAAAGGAAGAAAGTGGAAAATTATGGCCTTCGCCAGCTCTTACTGCTACCATCAGAATGAAAAGAAAAAGAAAATACGGGTCGTGCCTTCCAAAAGACAATTGCGGATCTTTCAAAGGTCATTTGTAACAAACTGCTCTTGTCTATGATTCCATCATAGATGAGGACACTAGCCTTGCTGGGCCCAGGAAGAGGTATCCCTCTACCTGATGTGGGACCATTAAGGGTTAGGGTTTAGACACTAGTGTCTTCTCTCCAATCCTCCCTTTTTTTGGGATGGTTATTGAGCAGATAGTCAGACTGCAATTATCGAGAATTCTGGGAAAGCATATTATCTAGACCCATTTTTAGTTAGGTTTCAGTATGGAGACAACCTTGGCAATGCTTGTTAATGACCTGTGGTGGACTTGGATAGGCTGGTACATCTACCCTTGCATCCCTTGATGTCTCAACCATAATATACTTCTACACCAGCTCCAGGGCTGGAAACTGAGGGCGCCTTCTCTTCCTTCACAGTCAGTTCCTGTCAGTGTTGGGAATGGGAGATCACTACCTAGCCCACTTGTTTTCAGGATGCCCAGGCCTCAGTGCTCTCTCTCCCCTCCTCTTCATCAATTACATGAAATTACTAGGTGAGGTCATTTGCCAATTTGGGACCTGATATCATCAGTATGCTGCTGTTATTCAATTATATATTTTAACTCAGGCTGACTATTGAGGTTCTGTCCCAATGTCTGAATGGGGGGGGGGATAACTATGTTTCAGTCTTGCCAAATGGCTGGTGGCTGTGGGACTTAATAGGTGCAAGATTTTAGTAATAGCAATAACACTTACAATTATATACCAATCCATTGTACTTTACAGCAAGGCTTTCAACCAGTGGTACGGGTACCACCTGTGGTACATTGGCACCTGGCAGGTGGTACGTGACCATCCTAGAAAAGTGGTAGGGGGGAGGGGAATGAGCTGAACCAGTGGCAGCACCACACAAGCCTGAGCGAGAGATGGCTGGAGCTGCAGGGCTGTCAGGGTTCAGCGGAATCACCAGGATTAGCACTTCTCCAGGGCTGTCAGTGCTTAGTGGAAGCATCAGGATCAACACCAGGCTTCAGTTGGAAAGCAGCACTGATCCTGGCATGTCTGCTGAGCCCTGAAGAAGCGCCGATCAGCTGGAATGTTGCAGCATCTCCAGGTTCTTACGATTTACATTCAGATGCTTGGTAACTGATTCATATTTATGATGGTCACAGTGTCTGAGGGTCATGTGAAGTAACCAAAACCTGCAACTACCCAGCAGATGGGGAATAAAAACCAAACATCCCTCACCACACCCCCGCTGCCAATCCTCAACAGAAATGCTCACAACAATGAAAACCTCGGACAGGAGGAAGAATGCCGCTGGGTAGACAGGCAGGTGTCTTGCTCGGCTGTGGCTTGGGATGCACTTTTTTCAGTTCTATTGTAACTTCGAACAGTCACTAAGCGAAATGTAAGTTGAGGACTACCTATACTTCATCAGTTTTTTCCTCTTTTTTTGGTCAAGTTTTTGACACCTTGCTAGGCGACTGGTGGTACTCGGATACTGCCATATCCTAAAAGTGGTACAATGGATGAAAAGGTTGAAAAGCCCTGCTTTACAGCACCTTCTAAGTGGTTTTACAGTCAGCTATTGTCTTCAACAATCTGGGTCCTCATTTTACCGACCTTAGAAACATGGAAGGCTGAGTCAACCTTCAGCTGGTTTGGATTGAACTCCTGGCAGTGAGCAGAGTTTCCCTGCAATATTGTATTCTAGCCATTGCGCTCCACGGCTCTTGATTTTTCATCTTTGCCTTAAGATTGCCTTAAAAGTAGTAGAAAAATTATTATACAGTATAATACTAGAATCTTTAATATCAATAGAAAATAAAGAGTGAAATCAAATGATATTTTTAATTTATGACATGAAAAGTTAATGGGAAAATATCAATGCATGGATGGAAAATCCTTAAATAAAGAAATACTATAAACAGAATTTCAAACAGTTCCAAAGAAGTGGAGGGAGGATTGGAAAAACAACAATAGAAGAGGCTTATGTGATTTTGTAAAAATGTTAAAATCAGAAAGGACACATTAAGAGGTGGAATGAAGAGACTTTAGAAAGAGTACAGAGAAGAGCAACAAAGATGATTAGAGGACTGGAGGCTAAAGCATATAAGGAACGGCTGCTAGAATTGGGTATGTCTAGTTTAATGAAGAGAAGGACGAGGGGGGACATGATAGCAGTATTCCAATATCTCAGGGGCTGCCATAAAGAAGAGGGAGTCAAGCTATTTTCCAAAGCACCTAAGAGCAGGACAAGAAGCAACGGATGGAAGCTAATCAAGGAGAGAAGCAACCTAGAACTAAGGAGAAACTTCCTGACAGTTAGAACAATTAACCAGTGGAACAGCCTGCCTCCAGAAGCGGTGAATGCTCCAACACTGGAAGTTTTCAAGATGAAACTAGACAACCATTTGTCCGAAATGGTATAGGGTTTCCTGCCTGAGCAGGGGGTTGGACTTGATAACCTCCAAGGTCTCTTCCATCATCATCATCATCAAGAACAGGTCACAATGCAAAATGTATGCATTTTGATTTGTAGAAATGTTACCAAAAAAGCTAACACTCAAATGTGACAAATTCTAAGGTTTCTGGAGAATGTTAACAACAAAAAGGGGTTTTAAAATATTTTCTTCAAAATAAAAGGAAGATACAAGAATCAGTATACCAGCTTCTCAGTGAAAGATCATAGAATTCTAAGTGATCACAAGCTGAATATGAGTCAGCAGTGTGACAGGGCTGATAAAGTGACAAATTTAGGCTGCGCTAATATAAAGATATTTTCTAATTCATGACAAGTAATGCATTTTGCATCAATCAGAAAAGTATTATGACCTGTTCTGGATGTCAGAATGACTCAGGGAAACTCAAAACAACTGCAAGTGCAAAAAAGTGCAATGGAGATGGATCAAAAGACTAGAAAATAAATCTGATAAAGATTGAGAGAGTAGAATATGTGCAGCTTTGGGAAAATATGATTGTGGGGAGAATATCATAGTGCTTTCCAAATATCCAAAGGAATGTCCTACAGAAGATGGTCAATGTAACTTTGTTATCTTCCCAACATTCAGGACATGGAGTCATGCCTAGGTAAGTTACAAGAAGGCGTGTTTTGAGGGGGAATTACCTCATGGTAAAAGTAGTTCCATCATTAAACCAATTATCATAGGCAGTTACAGGCTCCCCTTCACTGGGACTGTTCAGGCAGCAGCAGAACAGCCATTGGAAATGTTTTAATTTTCATTCAAGCACTGGGCAGGGATTGGACTCAGTGACCTAAATGGACCATTGAATAAATACTAGAAGACTTAATTCAGGGCTTGCAATCACACCCAGTGACCATTAAGGTGTCATGGAGATCTAAATGGTTGCTTGTTTGATCTCTTCTCCTTTCTTCAAATTACTTTAATTGGAGTAATATTTTGGTGAAATTTCTTTATGAGGTTTGAAGATTCTTAATTGTAATTATTGTCAAAACAAAAGCAGGTGAAAAATGTAGGATAAAGTGGGATACAATTTTGGGTTATAATATATAGGTTGAATAATGGAAAAATATGTGACTGAAAGAATTGAAATTTACATTACGTTATAATTTTAAATAGAATTCTTATATACTCTTGATATATGTTATCAGAGAAATTGTCTTCAGTGCATAAAGGCACTTCAAACTTGTTGGTAATGTGAATAAGAACGAACATTTTATCATGCTTGGTGGACATGCAAAGCTAGAATTATTGTATGTAAAAAGATGGAAAGTTTTGGCACTATCCACCATGGAGGAATGGTGGGCAAAGATGATGAGATCAGATGGGATAGCTAAATTGACTTCTTTGATCAGAGAAAAGACAATATCTCATTTATTGCTGATTGGAAAGTACTTATAAACTTTTTGTGTGAAACAAAAAAAGGCATAATTTATAATTGTGAAGATTAAATAGAGTATATTATAAGAAAAAAAGGGCTATGTTGTAACAACAGAGAAAGGTACATTTATAATTGTATTTATAACTGTTGTAAAGGTCAGAATCTATTTTGTATCTTTTTTCTCTTTTTTCTTTGTCGTTTAACTTCTTTTTGATATCCTTTTTTACTTTTTTGTTATATTAATTTGCCTTAATTTTTAATCTTTTTTTGAAAGTCTTTAATAAAATTACAAATACAAAAAAGATCTCTGCCTAAAAAAGCAAAAGAGTTTGTTAAATAAAAAGTTCATGTGCAGCAAGCTGCTGCATGCCTCCTTTCTCTTGAGATAGGCAGAAGAGACAGAAATGTTATCTTCTCCATCCTTCAATGGAACTGCAGATAATGTGAAAAAGAATGAGGGTATTTCATTAATGTTACTGTGAACTGCATCAATGTTTATAAGATTCCTATTTTTCCTAATGGTATGAAAAGCGGAGAAAAAGTAGTGGAAAATATGTGCTCTTCTCTTCACACCAAATCCATACACACACACACACACACCAAACTTGGATTATAATTTAGTTTATCATAACTGGAATCGATTAAAATAACTATGTATCCGTTTTAGCACAGCCAGTGGATAAAATGTTTGATTGGGAGCAGGGAGATCAGAAAGTAGCTGAGTAGCTTTGTTAGTCACATTCTCTCTTAGTACTAGTCTGGGAAGTAAAACAAAGAAACAATTTATTCAGGACAAGCATGATAGATTATGGTTCAAAACCTTCAATGAAGAAGCCTTAATTGTGCAGTGGATTGATTCAGGCTAGTGATAATACAAGTTTAAATAATTATTTGAAAGTATTTCCAGCTTCCTGTTAGATATCTTTGTATCTAAGCCTTGAACAAGGGTAGATAATGTTTGTTATAACAAAACCAAGCTCCAGGAACTTAATTATAAATTTCTGAACTTGCCTTTCATAGTATTTGAATTCTACCCTG